GAATGAAACTCTATCTCTAAATAAAAATAAATAAATAAATAAATAAATAGGTGCGGTGACTCATGCCTATAATCCCAGCACTTCAGGAGGCTGAGGTGGGAAGGCTGCTTAAGGTCAGGAGAATGAGACCAGCCTACGCAAAATAGTGAGACCCTGTCTCTACCAAAATTACAATAATTAGCCAGGTGTGGTGATGCGCATCTGTACTCCCAGCTACTCAGGAGGCTGAGGCGGGAGGATCACCTGAGCCTGGGAGGTCAAGGCTGCAGAGAGCCATCACCATACCACTGCACTCCAGCCTGGGTGACAGAGTAAGACACTCAAAAAGAAAAAAAAAGAAAAAAGAAAAGAAAACATAGAGCTCAATAAAAGAAACTACTTTGGGCACAGTGGCCCATGCCTGTAATCCCAACACTTATGGAGGCTGAGGCAGGTGGATAACCTGAGGTCAGGAGTTCGAGACCAGCCTGGCCAACATGACGAAACTCCGTCTCTACTAAAAATATGAAAATTAGCCAGGCTTGGTGGTGTAATCCCAGCTACTCAGGAGGCTGAGGCAGGAAAATCATTTGAGCCCGAGAGGTGAAGTTTGCAGTGAACCAAGATCGCGTCACTGAATTCCAGTGTGGGCAATAGAGCAAGTGAAGCTCTGAGAAAGAAAGAAACAAAGAAAGAAAAGAGAAAGAGAGAGAGAGAAAGAAAGAAAGAAAGACAGACAGAAGTGAAAGAAGGAGAGAAAGGAAGGAAGGAAGGAAGGAAGGAAGGAAGGAAGGAAGGAAGGAAGGAAAGAAAAGAGAAAGAGAGAGGAGAGAGAAAGAAAGAAAGAAAGACAGACAGGAAGTGAAAGAGGGGAGAGAAAGTGGAAGGCAAGGAAGGAAGGAAGGAAGGAAGGAAGGAAGGAAGGAAGGAAGGAAGGAAGGAAGGAAGGAAGGGAAGGCAGGCAGGCAAAAGTGAAAGAAAGAAAGAAAAGGAAAAGAAAAAGAAAAGAGAAGAAAGGAAGGAAGGGAGGAGGGAGGGAGGAAGGAGAGGGAGAGGGGAGAAGGAAGGAAGGAAGGAAGGAAGGAAGGAAGGAAGGAAGGAAGGAAGGAAGGAAGGAAGGAACGAACTATTCCAACAAACAAGTTTGTAAAAGCCCATTCGAGGAACAGAATCACTTCCCACGCTACAGTTGTATGACTGAGCCCCAGTCATACATCCTTTCCAATGAGAAAGGTGAAGAACAGTTCCAGACAACATACCTGGATAGAACTACTCATCTCCAGAATAAACAGTGGACTAAGGCAGTTGGCCTTCTCCATGCGTTAATATTCTGAATAGCACTTTGGTCCAGAGATGGAGGTCTTCCTGAGGCTAGCCCAGCTCAGAACTGTTGCCACCTGGGAAGTCTTGATTCTTGGTGTATACAGCAAGGGCAGAAGGTGCTCCTGAAGACATCGCCACTTGAGCACTCTGCTTAGGCAGTAGTGTTCTCAAGGCTCCCAAGCAACCCTGGGAAACTGAAACAAACAGACATGCATTTCCCATGTCTCTGGACCTTCATTTCCCATCTCTGGGCTGTAGATTCAATGTCCATTAAGGTTCTGTGCAGAATAGTGTTCATTCTTCTTCTAAGCATGCTATATGTCAAGCACTGCACCAAGTCATATACCTCGGACTCAATCTAGATTGCTCATCTAAGTCTTACAATGACTGAAATTGATATTATCATGATTGAGGAAACTAAGATTTAGAATTTGTCTAAGTTCTCTGCAGCTAGTAAATGATGGAGTAGTCGCTTGAGATACTGCTACGATAGCACCGTAATGTTACTCCTATATGTAGCCATCTACACTGGGTGATTCAAGAAGACTCAAAAATGTCTCTTTTCTCCAAAAGACCTCTTCAGTCTCTCTAGCCTCTCCTGATTCCTGTCTCTTGTAGAGGAGGAATGAGTTTTAACAGTGTAGTAGTTTCGCTTAAAGAATATAGAGCAAATTTTTGAAGACACAGTATATGTAACAGGTCAGCTTTGATTAATTCATTTAGTCAGTAAACATATATTTAACATCTATTATGTACCAGGCATGGATCAAAGTTCTTAGGATATAACAGTGAAAAAAATAAACAAAGATCCTCTACCTTAAGGAGCTTACAGTCTAGTGAAAAAAGACGGAAAATAATAAATAAGAGCAGATGATGATAAAAGATGACAAGTCCTGCAAAACAAATGAAAACATAAGATGGGATAAGGAGGATCAGGAATAGGGGGTGAAAGAGGCAGGTAAATAAGATGTCAGTTGGCCTCAGTGTGAAACCACTGTTGCAAAATTATAACTGTGAAGATTATTACTGTGATACAGTGAAAGAGATCTGACGTAACTGACTCCATCTTGCTTCTAACCTCCAAGTTGTCCTTGTTCATTCCTGGGAGTAGGCCAAACTAACTTTGGAAGAAACATAATTTATAGTTTAACTTTGAAACAAAGACATAATATCCCTTTCCCAAAACAAACGCTTTTCCTGCCTGGGGACTAGTCTGCCTTTGCGGGACTAACAAGTTAGCCACAAGATTAGAAATTAGGTTTAGGAGTCATGCAACTAGAGGTCACAAGATTCTGATCCTCCTCAAATTGCTCCTGGGGATAACATCACTATCGTAAAGCCTAAGGTCAGTGCTTGAGATGTTTTGCAGTCCCTGCACTTGATGGATCAGTTGGCACCACCCGGATTGATAAACTAGCTCATCTAGTCTCGTAGCCCCCACCCAGGAACTGACTCAATGCGAGAGGACAGGTTCGATTCTCTGTGATTTCATTTCCGACCCAACCAATCAGCACTCTCAACTCACTGACCCCTACTCACCAAAATATCCTTAAAAACCCCATCCGCCAATTGTTGGTGAGACCGATTTGAGTAATAATAAAACTCCGGTCCCCTGTACAGCTGGCTCTGTGTGAATTACACTCTTTATTGCAATTGTCCTGTCTTGATAAATCAGCTCTGTCTAGGCAGCGGGCAAGGAGAACCTGTTGGGTGGTTACAAGTGGGAAGGTAAGACTTAAGCAAAGGTTTTGAGGAGGTAAGGAAATTAGCCAAACTCTGTGGAGAGAATAGAAATTGAAGCAAAAGGAGCAGCTGGAACAAAGACCCCAAGACAGAGCGTACCTGGTGTGTGTGAGAAGGGATATAACAGTGAAAAAAAAAATGAAGATCCTCTCCCTTAAGGAGCTTACAGTCTAGTGAAAAAAGACAGAAAGTAATAAGTAAAGAATAGATTATAATAAAACGTGACAAGTCGGCAGGTGACAAACAGCAAGGAGGGCTGGCCAAAGCAGGAGTGAGGAAAACAGGGCTGGGAGAAGTGGTCACAGAAGTATCTCAAAAGACTAGATCATATAGGGTTTTGCAGGACATCGTCAGAACTTTGCTTTTATTCTATGTCAGAATGGGGGCTGGTGAAGTTTTGAGCAGGGGGACATTGGTCCAGGAGGACAAAGGGAAAACCAGGAGGGGCCTGTTTCAGTAACTCAGGTAAAAATCAATGGAGCTGGCCAGGCACAGTGGCTCACACCTGTAATCCCAGCACTTGGGAGGCTGAGGCAGATGAATCACTTGAGGTTAGGAGTTCAAGACCAGCCTGGCCAACATAGTGAAGCCCCCGTCTCTACTAAAAATCCAAAATTAGCCAGGCGTGGTGACACACACCTGTACTCCCAGCTACTTGGAAGGCTGAAACACTAGAACTGCTTGAACTTGGGTGACAGAGGTTTCAGTGAGCCAAAACAGTGCCACTGCACTCCAGCCTGGGCAACAGAGCAAGACTCTGTCTCAAAAAAAAAAAAGAATGGAGCTGAGACCAAGATGGTAATAGCAGAGGTGGTGAGAAATGGATTTTTTATACATATAAATAAATTGGGATTAGATTTCCTGATGGTTTGTATATGGGGCCTGAGAGAAAGAAAGAGGAACAGTACCAAAGATTTTCCTGAGCACTCTGAAAGGTGGAGTTGCCAACCACTCTGACAGAGATGGCTGAGGGTGGAGCAGGTTTCTAGCGGAAGATCAGGGTTCAGGTTTGGACATGTTAAGTTTGAGGCATCTACTAGGCATCCAAGTGCTGTCAGTGAGTAAGCTGTAGAATATATACATCTGCAGTGCAGGAGAGAAGCCTGGGTTAGGGATATAAATTTTTATTTATTTATTTATTTTGAGTTGGAGTCTCGCTCTGTCACCCAGGCTGGCACACAATGGCACAATCTCAGCTCACTGCAACCTCCACCTCCCAGGTTCTAGCGATTCTCCTGCCTCAGTCTCCCAAGCAGCTGGGATTCCAGACAGACACCACCACACTCGGCTTCTTTTTGTATTTTTAGTAGAGATGGAGTTTCACCACGTTAGCCAAGCTGGTCTGGAAACCCCGACCTCAAGTGATCCACCCGCCTCGGCCTCCCAAAGAATTGGGATTACAGGCGTGAGCCACTGCGCCCGGCTGGGGATATAAATTTAGAAGTAGTCAGCACATAAATCTTTTAAAATCACTAAGACTGAATATGACCTTCAAGGGAGTGCATATAGATTGAGATGAGGATGAAGGATCCTGGACACTTCCACATTATGAGGGTGGGAAGAAGAGAATAACCTACAAAGAAGACTGAGAATTCATGACAAGCGAGGTAGGAAGAAAATAAGAGTGTAGTGTCCTAGAAGCCGAGTATAGAAAGGGTACAGAGGAAGAGGAAGTGACCAGCTATACCAAACAATGGATCAAGTGCAATGCAGAGTAAGAATTGGCCATTAGCTTGAGCAACATGGAGGTCACTGGCAACCTTAACAAGAACCTTTTTTTTTTTTTTTTTTTTTTTTTGAGACGGAGTCTTGCTCTGTCGCGATCTCGGCTCACTGCAAGCTCCGCCTCCCGGTTCCCGCCATTCTCCTGCCTCAGCCCCCCAGTAGCTGGGACTACAGGCACCCGCCACCATGCCCGGCTAATTTTTCATATTTTTAGTAGAGATGAGGTTTCACCGTGTTAGCCAGGATGGTCTCGATCTTCTGACTTCGTGATCCGCCCGCCTCGGCCTCCCAAAGTGCTGGGATTACAGGCCTGAGCCACCACACCGGGCCAAGAGCCTTTTTAAGGAATGGGGTGGGAAATTGATTAGTTGCCTCTGGAATTTGACTTTTACTATTCAAGAGGGCAAATGAAAAGGTGCTGGTGGCCAGTTAGGAGAGATGTATTTCCTAAAAGAATTACATTCCGAGGTTTCCTGTATTTCCTGTAGGTACCTGCTGGTTAGAAATTTGTCCCCTACCACCGACCGGGCACCTGGTGGGAGACCGGGTTACCTCACTGGGGAACTACAGGATGCAGGCCCTCGGGCAGGAGCATCTGGCAAAGCCGGGAGGGCCACAGGCTCCCTCCTTTGCAGGACGAAGTGGGGCCTCTGCGGCCGTCCTGGACAGGCCAGGGTGGCGGCAGCTTTGCCCACATGGAAGCGGCACTGGGTCTCACTTGCCTGGTGGTGGTCCCTGGCTCCTCCTTGCTTGCTGCAGCCCTGGGCAGCAGGCACTGGATGGTTCTTCCACCTATTTGCTGCTGGTTCTCCGGGCAGTGCGTGGACAGCGGGGGGGCTATGGGCAGGGCCATGTGGGCTGTGACCCTGGGTTGTCGAGATGACCCAAGCACTGAGGCTCTGCTGAATGGAGCCGGGTCCCACAGGCCGTGGATGCCCTTGGGAAGGGTGACTGTGGCTTGTGTCTGGGCCTGAGTGACAGGAATGTGTCATTTCCCCCATCTTCTAGAGGGCCTGCCCGCTGGGAACACAGTTATCAGGGTGAGCTGCGCTCTGAGTCTGGGGTTCTGCTTCTACAAAGAAGGTGCAGTGCTGTGGATGAGGGCCTCGGCGCGGGTGAGGGCCCGGCGCCCACAAGGGCCACTGCAGAGAATGCTTCTGCACGCGTCAGCGGCACTGGGCAGCTGATGGGCTGCGCGACGCGGTTGGATGCACATCGCCTCTTTCTGCCATGAATGTCCAGTAAAAATCTGAATGGGTTGCAAAAAAAAAAGGAAAAAAAAAAAAAAGAAATTTGTCCCCGACGTTTGAAGCTGTTCGCCGGGTTCTTGCTTCTTCTCCATCCTCTTGGAAGTGGACCAGGTTGAGAAGATGAATGATCTTAAGGGGACAAATGCAGGTTTCCTTTCTTTTCTAGAATCAATCCCATTTAAGGCTGAAGAACTTTTGATTTAGGACACATTTCCCTTCCAACTTGTCCCAGTATTCATGGAAAACCGAGTACAGTCGGCCGTCTGCATCTGCAGGTTCCGCATCTGTGGATTGAACCAACCATGAATCAAAAACATTCAGAAAAAGAATTTTAAAATGACAATAAAAAATACACAAATAAAAAAACAATACAGTATGACAACTATTTACACACCATTTACATTGTATTAGGTACCATAAATAATCTAGAGATTATGTAAACTATATAGCAGGATATGCATAGGTTTTCGGCAAATACTATGCCATTTTAGGTTAGAGACTTGAACACCCACAGATTTTGGTGTCCTGGGAGTCGTGAAACTAATCACAATATGGACGACTATATTCAGGCTCCTTGATCTTCCCATTCAATGTTAGCCAAATAGCAGAAGATTAAATTTAGGGAACTCAAATCCTTAAGCGAGCTGTCACTAAAAGGCAGTTTGGCTTATTCTAAATGATAAACAAATAGATCTTAGTTCCTTGAAATCCAAGAATCACTTAATCAGTGTTTACTTCCACTACAGAAAGGAAAAACAAAATGAAAACTCCAGCAGGGAGCACAGGTAACATGTCTCTTAATCTGTGTTTAATCTTGAGTTGGCTATCCTTTCCTTTAGGGCATTTAGACTGAGACACTCCCACAGGGCAGGAGTATGTCTTCTTACTGCTCTCTAATTCCCCAGTATCCAGACCAGCGCTCAGACCAGAGGAGAAGACCAAGAAGACTTGGTACCCGGATTGGAGCCTAAAACAAGAAAGGACACTTAAAATGCAAATAAAGTCTGGAGTTTAGTTTAATGTAATGTAACAACGTTGGTTTCTTAGTTTTGACAAATACAACATGGTAACTTAAGATGCTAACATCAGGGCCAGGCACGGTGACTCACGCCTATAATTCCAGCACTTTGGGAGGCCAAGGCAGGTGGATCGCCTGAGCTAAGGAGTTCAAGACAAGCCTGGGCGAAATGCAGGTGGATCACCTGAGCTAAGGAGTTCAAGACCAGCCTGGGCAACATGGCAAAACCCCATCTCTACAAAAATATACAAAAACTAGGGAAGTGTGGTGGCATGCACATGTAGTCCCAGCTACTCAGGAGGCTGAGGTGGGAGGATTGCTTGAGACTAGGAGGTCGAGGCTGCAGTGAGCCAAGATCATGCCACTGTACTCCAGCCTGGACAACAGAGCAAGACCCTGCCTCAAGAAAAAAAAATGTTAGTATCAAGAGACTGAGTGAGGAATATACAGATACTCTCTACCATCTCTGCAACTTTTTAAAAATAAATCCAGGCTGGGCGCAGTGGCTCACACCTGTAATCCCAACACTTTGGGACGCTGAGGTGGGTGTATCATCTGAGGTCAGGAGTTTGAGAGCAGCCTGGCCAACATGGCAAAACCCCATCTCTACTAAAAAAAAAAAAAAAAAAAAAGCAAACAAAATTTGGGCGTGGTGGCACGTGCTTTTAGTCCCAGCTACTCAGGAGGCTGAAGTAGGAGAATCGCTTGAACCCGGGAGGCAGAGGCTTCAGTGAGCTGAGGTCACACCACTGCACTACAGCACGGGCTATAGAGCAAGACTCTGTCTCAAAAATAAATAAATAAATAATTTTTTTAAAAATCCAAATAAAGTTCACTTTTTTAAAAAATGCATTTGTAAGGAGATGTGCTATGAAGGGGAAGCACTCGTGCTTTGTGAGCATGTCCTAAGGAAAGGAAATTTGAACTTGCCAGAAGTCAGAGATGGCTTCCTGATGAAATAACTGTAGACCTGAGATCTTAAGAATGAGGGGGCATTTTTGAATATCACAGTTCTCAAAGTCAAACAAACTCATACTTAGACATTGCAAGAGTATTTTGGCCATACACAGTGGTGTGCATCTGTAGTCGCAGCTACTCAGGAGGCTGAGGAGGGAGGATTGCTTGAGGTCAGGAGTTCAAGGTACTACAATTGTGTCTGTGAACAACCACTACACTCCAGTCTGGGTGACATAGAAAGACCCATCTCTTCAAACACACACACACACACACACACACACACACACACACACACACACACAAAACAAGCATTTTGCTTCCGAGAAAGTTTTTCAAGTAAAGATCATAAGTACTGTTGCTTATGCATTGTGCATTTTCAGCCCAGACCTCTGCCCGGTGAGGCAGATGGAAACCTTCCGGGGTGAGGAGACTGTGCACTGCTTTTGAGGCCATTTCTCTTTCCCACAAACCTGATGTTGCCAGAGACAGGAGTGGAAAACTCTACAGCCTATAATCTTTAAATATTTGGGCCCCGATGTGATGGGTCCATTCAGTAGGACAAATGAAGTGTGTTCTTCACTCCACCTTAGCAGCCTATCACTCCTTACCCATTCCCCATGCATGCCATTCTTCCAAGCCCAGGTGATACGGGAGTGAGAACCAGACAGAAGTGGGGCCAGACAAGATTTCCATGCCAAGGATGGAAGCCTGGAGCTAGCTTGCTCTAGAGAGTCAGGCTGCTGAAGGGCAAAGAATGTGACCAAGGAGATGTGGACTAAAACAAGGCCCCTGGACCTAGAGCAGCACTAGTATTAGTAAAAGTGACTGAATATGCCTGGCACCTTGGCTCAGGCCCCACCATTTCAGAGCACAGGCCACTGTAGTGAGGATGGCTGGAAAATCATTACATAGCCAATGACAACAGAAAGGCCAAATTATGTGCATGAAGGTTTAATGTCAACATGTAATATGTGCAAGTTAGACAAATGAAAATCAAAGACCACCTGGAAACCCAAGCCAACACTCACAAGCCACAGGCCCTCTGGAAAGAGCAGCTGTGAAAATGTCTGTAGAGGAGAACAGGATGGAGAATGAATTTCATGCGCACATGTGGCAGATGTCACACGGAATCCCTTTGGCAGCGCAGGCATTTTACGTTCTGTAGCGTCTCTCTACATGTTGGAGCAGGCGGATGTTCAGTTTTCTTCACTATTATTTCAGTTCTGCCTTACACTGGAACAATAAAACAAGCCATATGTCAGAATCCAAGAGAATTCTCTGGAAACCAAAGGCTTCTCCATCTCACTTTCAGCAGCCAAAGTCTCGATGTGACTTCACTTGCTTACAAGTAGAAGGATCCGTGTTTTTATAATGGTCCTTCTATTGTAATAGGAAAAGAGAGATGTAACTTAATTTTTGCCTGTTGTCTAATGAAGAGTCATGCATTTTTACCAGTGCAGTTTTTATTTATCAAACACTAACAGTATTTTCATGCTGGAACATGACCCAATAATGGCTCATCAAATGCAACCAGTGGGTCAGCATTTTCTTAAAATCCAACAAACAAAAAAAAACATCTGAGGCTATGTGTAGCAGCTCACGCCTATAATCCCAGCACTTTGGGAGGCTGAGGCAGATGCATCACTTGAGCCTAGGAGTTCAAGATCAGCCTGGGCAACATGTCAAAACCCTGTCTCTACTAAAAATACAAACAAAAAAAAATTTATCCAGGCATGGAGGCGCAAGCCTGTAGTTCCAGATACTCAGGAAGCTGAGGTAAAAGAATTGCTTCAGCCTAGGAGGCAGAGGTTGAAGCGAGCAGAGATTGTGTCACTGCACTCCAGCCTGGGTGACAGAGTGAAACCTTGTCTCAAAAAAAAAAAAAAAAAAAAAAAATCAGAGTGCACCTACTATAATAATGTGGGTTCTGGTAGTCAAGTTTGAAAGTCATTGTGGTAGGGGCCTCACTTCATTAGGCCATCTTTATCCATGACCTAGTTCAGGGATTCTCAAAGTGAAGGTTTGGGACCAGGAGTGTTAGCATCACCTGGGAATATGTTAGAAATGCACATGTCAGACCCCACTCCAGATGCCCCAATCAGAAGCTGTTGGAAGTGGAGGCAGAGGACACATGCAAGGAAAATGGAGATGATTCTGATGCACACTCGCTTTTGAGTAACCCTGGTGAAGTACACCAAAGGACTGATTAAAAATATCAATGAGGCATTAAAACAAAAGAATAAAGACAAAAACAATTTGTAACCCTTTGATAAACAATGAGGCTCAAGAATCCCAAATAAACAGCCAGAAAAACAACTACAAAAACTCTTACCGGGGTTAGTAAGATTTCTTTAATAGAGTTGCATCTTACACAAGGCTAGGATCTAAAGATAGAGGGTGAAAAAAAGTAACATCAGTCAAGATCCTCCATAAAGTACAGTCAGTCCTGTGTCCCGGTAAGGTCCACGTGGTCATTTTTGCTCTTCTGCACTGAAACCCATCATCATTTCCTTGATGGAGGGCCAGATGGAGTAGTTGGCTTGTGTCTAGGGCCGTATTGTTCCACAAATATTAATTGAAAATACTAGAATCGGTTCTGTGCAGTGAGATGGTACCCAGCTGGGCAAACAAACTAATTTCCCAGTATGTGTGTGTGGCTGGGAGTAGGAGGTGTTGATATTATTTTCTCTCTCTTCATATAGTTGAAGTCACCACAAGTTACCTTTGTAACAGATGCAATTCCAGTTATCCACCATTTACTCAGTAATTTTTCCTTCCCCAAAAGGGATGCACACACACAAACACAACTTCATTTATTCCTTACACAACCCTATGAGATCAGTAATACTTTTTTGGTTTTGGGGGTTTTTTTGAGATAGAGTCTCACTCCGTTGCCCAGGCTAGAGTACAGTGGTGCAACCTTTGCCTCCCGTGCTGAAGCAATCTTCCCACCTCAGCCTCCTGGGTGGCTGGGACTACAGGCATGTATCTGTATTAGCCACCACATCTGGTTGATTTTTTTGTATTTTTAGTACAGGTGGGGTTTCAGCATGTTGACCAGGCCCAGGCTGAAGCAATCTTCCCCCCTCAGCCTCCCAAGTAGCTGGGACTACAGGCATGAAACACCACTTCTGGGTAATATTTTTGTCTTTTTAGTAGAGATGGGGTTTTGCCATGTTGCCCAGGCTGGTCTTGAACTCCAGAGATCAGTAATACTTTTCTCATTATACAGGCACAGAAGTTTAGAGGTTGAGGTAGCTTATCCAAGGTCACACAGCCAGTAAATGGTTGAGTGTAGATGTGAATCCAGGTATGCTACAGAAAATTAAAAGCATGATACACTAATATGACAAAGATTCTTTCAAAGCAAAGAAAATGTACTGCCTCAGTCGATCCTTTTATTGGTGTCACCCTTGGCTCCATGTGCCCTAGGATACAGGAAATGGATTTCAGAGAAATTGCCTTGGCTAGCATATTTCCCACTCCCAGGAGTGTTCCTGAAAATCTGTGTGTGCCACTGAGATTTTTAATGTATTATGCGTGCTCACTCTTAAAAAAAATCCTGAGCCTGTCTTCCTGCCATTGTTGTCGTTCACATTAGGTGTCCTCTTAAAAGGAAGCGTTCATTTTAATATTCCTCATCAGGGCTTTACAGAAAAGACTGGCCAGGCATGGTGGCTCACACCCATCATCCCAGTACTGTGGGAGGCCAAGGTGGGTGGATCACTTGAGCCCAGGAGTTCAAGACCAGCCTGGGCAACATAGTGAGACCTCGTCTCTACAAAAAATACAAAAATTAGCTGGGTGTCGTGGCATGTGCCTGTAATCCCAACTACTTGGGAGGCTGAGGCAGAAGGATCGCTTGAGCCAGGAGGTAGAGGTTGCGGTGAGCCATGATTGTGCCATTGCACTCCAGCCTGGGCGACAGTTGTGAAATCCTTTCTCAAAATAATAATAATAATAATAATAATAATAATAATAATTTAAAATTTTTAAAAAGGGAAAAGACTGGATGGGGATGAGAGGGCAGAGAAGAGCAGTCAAGGAAAGAAGGTTTAAGCAATATATGGTACAGTATTTTTATAAAGCCACTGCTCCCCTGGGGCGATCTTTATTCCTTCTTACTAAAGAAGGTGGGGCTTTTCTCCAGAAAATTCCATCAACCCTGGAAAGATCAGATGGCAATTTACCATGAGGTAAGAATGCAACCTCTGCCAGAATTCCTTAGCCCTTAACTTTTCAAGCTTTAGTCATCAGCAAGTCACCTCTATCATCATTTACTTCACCTATTCACTTTTTGTATATGAATAGATTTATTTTACAATGAAAGTTTTTATCACCACGCCTTTAGGAGAAAATGAGTGTTGCTCTCAGAAGTCGAAGAAAACTTCAAACATGAGTGCATTGAAAACAAAATGACTTTTTTTTTCAATTCTAACTTGATATGTGGCTTGTCAAAAACTCAAAACATAAGTGTTCATTCTCTCTCTTTTCTTCCCTCTCTACTTCCCTCTCTCTTTCTTTCCCTCCCTGGCCCCCTTCAGTAGGATAAGCAATTATCAGAGAAATGTTAAAGATAAAACAGCGCCAACTAAGACTTTCTTCTTGAGTAATCAATCAGTATTGAAAGATGATTTTTTTTTTTTTTTTTTCCTGAGACGGAGTCTCACTCTGTCACCCAGGCTGGAGTGCGGTGGCATGATCTCCGCTCACTGCAAACTCCGCCTCCCTGGCTCAAGCAATTCCCCTGCCTCAGCCTCCTGAGTAGCTGGGATTACATGTATGCACCACCACACCCAGCTAATTTTTTGTATTTTTAGTAGAGACAGGTTCACCAATGTTGGCCAAGGTGGTCTCGAACTCTTGACCTTGGGTGATCCTCCCGCCTCAGCCTCCCGAAGTGCTAGAATTACAGGCACGAACCACCATGCCCAGCTTTTTTTTTTTTTTGAGACAGTCTTGCTCTGTCACGCAGGCTGGAGTGTGGTGGTGGCACGAACTCAGCTCACTAAACGTTCTGCTTCCAAGGTTCCAGCGATTCTAGTGCCTCAGCTACCTGTGTAGCTGGGATTACAGGCACGCACCACCAAGCCTGACCTTGGAAGAGAATTAAAAGGATTCAAGAGGGGTCTATATGAGAACTCTCTTTACTTTCTCAATTTTTCTGCAAACTTACTAAGACTTTTCTAAAAATTAAAGTCTTAATTTTTAAAAAGTGTACACGTAGAAATAAAATTAAGACTTTCAAATTTTTTTTAAATAAATTAATCTTCTCCCTGGATAAATCAAGGTGATTTAACTCTACATTCCCCAGACTACCCTAAATCACCAAAATTTACCTGAAATTACCTCCAACAGTAACAATAGTCCATGGCCCACATTTTGTGAAATCTGCTTAGTTGAAGTTTGAAGAAATACAATAAAAATAAAAATAAGAGACCGAGCGCAGTGGCTCATGCCTGTAATCTCAGCACTTTGGGAGGCTGAGAAAGGCGGATCACCTGAGGTCAGGAGTTCAAGACCAGCCTGGTCAACATAGTGAAACCCCGTCTCTGCTAAAAGTACAAAAATTAGCTGGGCTTGGGGGCACATGCCTGTAATCCCAGCTACTTGGGAGGCTGAGGCAGGAGAATTGCTTGAACTTGGGAGGTGGAGGTTGCAGTGAGCTGAGATTGTGCCATTGCACCTGGGCAACAAGAAAAAAACTGAAAGAAAGAAAAGAGAAGAGAAGAGAGGAGAGAGGAGAGAGGAGAAAAAAGGAGAGAGGAGAGAGGAGAGAGAATAGGAGAAAGGAGAAGAGAAAAGAAAAGGCATTGTTTGGATGGTTTCCTATTGATGGCAGAAAGAAATGTTGAATGATTCACCTTCCTGCCAAATCCCTTCATGACCTGGCCCTCACATTCATTTTTTCCCTCCTCCCATTGCCCACACACTCCGGGCATTATTTCCAAACTCTGTGGTCTTCCCTGTGTCTGGAACTTTCTTCCCCTATCTCTGCCTGTCAAATCTTAATCATCCTTCAAGATGACCCAGCAAGCTCGTAATTCCTACTAGTCAGCCCACGCAGTGCTATGAAGCCTAAGCTGGCACTTCCAGGCAGGGAAAACTGCTCCTTCCCTTGGGTAGCTACAGAGACATGTACACACCCATGAGAGCAGCCATCTTTTTGTCGAGTGTGGTGGATTTGTATGACTGCCAAGAGTTGCCAGATAAAATACACGGTGCTTGTTACATTTAAATTTCAGTTAAACTAGAGATAATTTTTTACTATGTCTCATGTAATAATTACCTGAGTGTCCTGTATTTTTTTACTTGTTAAATCTGGCAATGCTATGCCTTTCTCCAGTGAAATTCAGCTTCCGAAAGACAAAGACTGCGGCGTTCCAGCTTTGTGTGTGAGGTACCTAGGACATTACCAGGGACTTAGTGAAGGTTTGGTTATGAATCATTGCATGAATGACTGCACCCAACTGACCTATGAGATAACATAGGATTTCAACTAAGATCGTGAGTACAGTTCTATTTCTATCTAGAAATCAGGTTTGGAAGGGGGAAAGATCATGTGTTCAAATATAACACACTCATAAGCTATAGACTGGTCCTGTAGGAAGGAGCAAAGGTATCTGCATTATTCTCTATCTTATCTTTAACACATAGAATAACAACTCACACACTGCATGGTTTCCCTATACTTTACAAGTCTACAATCTGCTCCCACACAGATTGCATTATGAAGGTGAGAACTTACACTCAGTCCAAAGCCAGGCAGAATAAACAGCAACAGCAGCCAGGAGCGAATCTACTCCATATTGAGACTGGTTCTGTCTCTATTAATCAGGCTGATAATTAATCACTGTGTTTGAGTTTAAAGCTTTCCTGTGAGGGCAGAGTGCAGTAACGGAAGAGTCAATCACAGGCTCTGAAGTTGGACAGACTTAGGTTTGCAGTTATGACTCAGCTACTGCCAAGCTAAAGACCTCTCTGGGGCTCAGCCTTCTTACCTATAAGCCAGGTTATAATGGCTACCTCCAAGAGGTCACTTTGAGTATTAAATGAGGTAATGTACATGAAGTGTCTTGTATGGTCCCTGCCCATAGCAGGTGTTCAAGAGTGGTAATGATGATAGTGATAAGGATGATTGTATTTTCATTTCTACTTTTCCAGTTAGATTTACAATCTCCCTTAACATATTAACTGCTTTATTTGTTTTTTACTTCCTTTTGTTTTTTGAGAAACGGTCTCCCTCTCTCTCCCAGGTTGGAGTGCCACGGTGTGATCATAGCTCACTGCAGCCTCCACTTCCTGGGTTCAAGCAATCCTCCCACCTCAGCCTCCTAGGTGGCTAGGACATGCCACCACGCCTGGCTAACTTTTTTTAATCTTT